CTGCCCTTTTTGCTCTCCTACTTTTTTGTCAGACATTTACACCCACATCGTGAGTGCCATATTACTAGTCCAATATTGCAAATTTGGATGGCGCCCCTTTTTGTGATTGCAAAGACCACCATTTTTTCATCACCTTCTAATACTATTTTGCCCCACCTTAAACAGACCTTGTGACCCTGATTTTTATTCCTAAACCCTTTTTCTGTCAATTTATGGGCATTCCATATTTCTTTGTAGTAAATTTTATCCCTAAGTTCTTGTTAAGGTGTAGGATTGGTAAGGTTGTTAATTAGGTATGGTATTTGAGCTAGAGGACGCTGACATAAGATCAATTAGAATCTTTTCTAGCCAAGTTGACAAAGTTACCTTTAATCATAATGATGTTCAGGTTTGTTGTGGTTGGTGTAGTTTGTAAATGCTTGCTCTTAGTGATAACATGGCCTATTGCATATTGATTTCTTCTAAATGTTTCACCATCATTTGTGAGCTAGCCTTTTTCATTGACTGCAGTGTGCCTTGTTATTACTTTTTATTTGCTACTCTGCAAAAAAAAAAAAACTCATGTTCAGTGGTAGATGCATTAAAAAGGGACAAAGACAGTGCTGCTACAGTTGGTGGTGGTCACATGAAGAAATCCACTATTGATTGAGCATTTGACATCAGTTGGAGCACATTTTTGTTGTTAAGTTGTTTGATCTGAGCACTTTTATCTTTTATTTGTCACTATTGTTGAGATATCTAAGAATCCATAAACATGGCTCCGATTTCGCCATGTCTCCTTACTGTTCATTATTTATTGACGTTGTTTCTACTTTCTTTTTAGGTTTTGGTCTTATTGTGGTAGTGCTCGTTCCGTGTGCTTTTTATTTTCATTTTATTTTTGTGGGACTCTTGTGAAACAATGTGTTAACAGTAGATAAATACAATACACACCCACTAGCATCACATGTTATACAATACAATACACACTGTAAAGCACACACCAGCACACACCCACTAGCATCACATGTTCGGATCACACTGTAAAGCACACACCAGCACACACCCACTAGCACACACCAGCACACAAGAAAGCTTTAGCAATAGTTTAATGTATTGTAATATACACTTTCGGTCACCTTCTCCTCTCTATAAATAGAGAGAGCTCAGTCTCTTGTATGATATATAAAAACACAGGGATTTTAAATTTTCTACATAGCGTTACACCTTTTCTTTTGCATCATTTTCTTTGTATATGTGGTTGTATCATATATATATATATACATATAGCACATATATTTGTATATGAATTTTAAGTCAAACTGCTTTTCTGTTACTTCGTTGTTACGGCAGAATGAGATGCAAATTGCTGTTAAGCAGAAAAAGCATGGAGATCCTGTTGGTGAAACACTGCTGGGAAAAGCTGTGAGTTTTAAGCAGTTTTCTAGTAGTGCAGTGCAAAGCAAGAGGACTGAACACACTTGCATTGGTGACAAGCAAAAAACCCTACTGAATTTAGCACAACTTCCTGATAATTCTTCTCATGCATGTAGGTATTCATTATGGGATTTGGAAACATAGGAATTTAGTTGGCAAAGCGCTTGCGACCATTTGGTGTCAAAATTCTAGCTACAAAACGGAGTTGGGACTCGTATTTGCAAAATTCATGCAAGTCTGATGGTATGTAAGGGCTTATAAACTAAAATAATATAGCTTGATGGAATGTGAGGTTTAATTTATCAATTTTGATGGTACGTCTTCAGCATCACTCACTCAAAACGGTATGAATGATGATTTGGTTGACGATAAGGGTTTTCATGAAGATATCCATACTTTTGCAAGCAACGCCGACATAGTTATTTGTTGCTTGTTGATGAACAGTGAAACGGTAAGGATCCTCTTATTTGTATATGCTCACATTTTTTGGATACATTTTCTTTCAGGCTGGCATTGTAAACAAAACATTTATATCATCGATGAAAAAGGTTTGTTCCAACAAGCTAATGACTTATCTTGGAAGCTTAATGTTTTATTTTCATTGATAAATCTACTTAATTCTTGTAATTTACATCGATTCACCTTATGACAGCTGGGTCTATGCTTGAGTATGATTTGATTGCCATAGCACCAATACTTTGGAACAAGTTTCCCGCTGAAGTGTTCCCTAAGCATGCGCTCTTGTAGTTTGGGCATATCTAGGTGCTTGCCCTACTGGTAACCGCTTATCACACACGTTGCCTGGGGTACTCTGTGGAGTAAGGTGGGTCATGAGGGAGTACTATCAAGGGGTTGGATGTACTGAGGCCCGGTTACAACCATCTACTTTAGCTTAGTAGAAGATTGTCTGAGGAGAGAATTGGAAATAGACTTATGACACATGTTCCCCTCTCATAGGAACAGCTCATTGACTTTCTCTTGTTTGGAGATAAGGGATGTGAGTGTAAAAGATAATGTCTGGGAAATGGGTTTCCATCGAAGAAAGAACATACTGTGCAGCCTAGTGGGTCTGAGTTATGTGAGCTTATTAAGTTGAGATTTGCTCTATGGGTGAAAGCTTCTGCAAAGGGGTTCATGTACTCTGTCTTGGATGTAATCAATAATCTGGATCAGATTAAGGACTGTTGTTGAGGGATATGTGCTGGTTTGGTACATTGGTCTGTTATTTGCTGGTTTGGTCTGCTGCTATTTGGTCTGTTTTCTGCTATGCTGCTATCTGATCTGTTATTTGGTTTGTTTTCTGGTCTGTCTTCTGTTCTGCTACTATCTGCTGTTTTGGTGTTTGCTGAGGAGGTAGTTATGATGTACCTGTTGGAGTCTGCTGTCTGCTACTTGGGCAACACCTGTTTCAGGTGGTTGAGTTTGTTTTGCAAGAAGATTTCTGCTGACTCTGTATCTGGGTTACTAGTCCTGGTATATTTGTATCAGTGCTGTCATACTTGTTTTTTGCTTGTTTGTCAGTGTATCTGTTGGTCCCTCACCAACAAGTTCTTGGTTGGTGCTGTCATATGATGGCCCTTGCATATAGTTGCTTGGACATGAGTTTTTTTTATCGAAAAAAAAAAAAAAAAACTTTATTGATGTCTCCCTTCCTTTCTTGTAAGGTTTTCCCCCATCAACAAAGTTTTTGTGTTGATCAAAAAAAAATTTCTTCCACTTTGATAACAGAAGTCAATGCTTTTAACTGTCTGTTATTTGTATTGATAGCATCCTCAACTATATGAGCAAACAAGAGAAAAACATACAGAAAAAGGAAAAGAAAAAACTCTTGATGATAATGGTTTGCATCTTTGATTGTTTGTTGTTTAGTTTGTGTTTCAGGGTGCCCTTTTGGTGAATATAGCTCGAGGGGGTCTCTTGGACTATGAAGCTATTCTTTGGTGGTGTTTGGGAAGCAACTTCCCAAATTTTTTTCTCATTTTTTCCACTAAAAGACAAAAGTTTTGCAAAACCAAAAAAAACACATACAAACAAAATATCACATCCAACCCCATAATCATTTCACTTTTTCTCTCACAAACATCACATCCAACCACATAAAAACCCAACTATCTTCCCAAACACCAAAAATTTTTTATCTCATAAAAACCTACATCTACTAAAATCTACATAAAAACTCACTTCCCAAACACCATCTTTATCACCTTAAATCTGGCCACTTGGGAGGTTTAGGCATGGATGCTGCTTGGACAGAGCCATTTGATCCTGAGGATCCAATTTTGAAGTTCCCAAATGTCCTAATAATGCCCCATGTTGCAGCGGTCACCAAACATGCTTTTAGATCCACGGCTAAGGTATGAACGTTACAAAGACTACTAGATTAGTGTCAATTTATAGTATGATTTAGATTATATCTGTTAAGTGATAACCATTCTGTGTCAGACATGGTTACAAGTTCTAGTTAAAATTAATACGAAAACAATCAATAGATTTTACATAGTTTGCTTAGAAACACTGTTGCATTGTGGTCCTCAAGTTGTTCTATAAAGCTGTATTGTTGCTGAATATTTCTTGAACTCCTTTCATACACTTTCAAAGTTGCCAAAAAAAAGACCCTAAAAATACCCATGGATGATAGGTTTAAATGCCATGAATATAAAGACTAGAAACTCCCTAAGGTTGTGTCAAGTTAGTGTCTTCCATAAGCAGATTCCTAGCTTATTTTGCTGTTATAATGTTAATGAAATCCTCTATTGATTGTGTCCTTTTCACCTAACAGGTAGTTGGCAATGTAGCCCTTCAGCTTCATGCCGGGAGTCCTCTGACAGGGATAGAGTTTGTCAATTGATTTAGCTCAAGATGTGGGTTGGTCCAGAAAGATATTGATTTTGGCTCCATACACCTATTTTAAAAATTCAATAAATTTGTGCTAGTATAAGTGCCATTTGAATGTATATTTCATTCATGCTTTCAACATTACCAATAATCATGTCAGCAACTCGCTGCATTATTTTTCTAGCAAAATATGAGAAAGAAATAATTTTACTTGGGTTTCATTACTGTAGTAAACAATTGGTTTGGCGTGAATGAGATGATTAATATGATTTCTTATTATGGTCTAATATAAATGAGATGATTAATATCGTTCTTCAAAGGTAAAGCTTTATTACCGTGGTTAACATGGTTTCTCATGCTTCATTTTTTTTTTTTTTTTTTTAATCGGCGAAAAAGAAACTTTATTGATGTAAGAGCAAAGTACAAGATATTAACTAAAATACATCAATAAAGAGAAGCAAGTGCAAAAGTATCACAATGAACTAAATCATCCCAACTAGGTTGGCACCAAAAAACTCATCCTATCATTTGCACCCCAAAGTTGGTGAGAAACCAACCAAAGTAACAGCAAGGACTCCTATACAACATTAGCACAGCATGGCAGTCCAACATATCAGCAGAGCAGTCCACAACTGAGCATAGCAGTCCAACATAGCAATTCATCCACCTTCAGCCACCATATCAGATCATCCACATATCCCTTTTATCAACCACCAAGACTTTGCATCCAGGTTTTCCCATGCAAAATCTCATAGCCATCTACCAGAGATGCACCTGCTCACTTGCCTAAGGTTAATCACAAATTCTTGCATTGTGAAATTATGTTCAGTGTAAAATGGTTTCAGCCATAATGCAACTCTAACTTTGATCACTTCACATAACTCAGCCAAGCTTGGATTTGAAGCATTGAACACAACATCATTTCTAAGCTTCCACACAGACCACAACACAACCAGTGGAATGCCCCGCCAGATCTTTCTCTCTTTACTGCTGAAGCATTCCTCATCCCACCATAAAATTAGTACTTCAACAGATCCAGGTAAAGCCCCTTGAACATCCCACCAATTTAACATTTCAGCCCATACATTCCATACAAAAGGGCAAGACACCATCACATGATCTACTGTTTCATTCACAGCTTTGCAGAACACACACAAAGTTGACACATTGTTATGAAGCACACCAATTCTTTGAAGAAAAACTGAGGTCTTAATTCTATTCTTCCAAGCTGGCCACCCAAAAAATTGAAATTTTGGAGGCAAATATTTAACCCATATCAGTTTGCTTATTCTCATACTAGGACCAGCAGAAGCAATAGCCCCCTTATAGACAGAGAACACAGAAAACACTCAAGATGATTCAGCTGCCCATACAAGTTCATCCACCTGATCTGCAACTAAAATAGGTACTGCACCCAGGAGGTTTCTGAGTCTACTAACCTCGCAATCTTCCCAGTCATACAACCTTCTTCTAAAATTAAACACCCAATTCCCTACAACTTCCTTCCTCTCATACATTGTTCTTAGTGATTCCTCTTTATCCAACAACAACAAAAATAAACTTGGGAATTCCTCTTTTAAACAGGTAAAATGACACCATTTGTCCCACCAAAACTTTACTGTCCTCCCCCAACCTTTATTTGCCAGTTATTCAAGTAAAATTCCAATAGACGACTGTTTGATACAGCAATGTTAATTATACCCTTCTATACACTAGACACATTACTACTAGTGCAAGGAGAGGGTACCCACTCATTGAAACCCACTTTATACTTGCTACAAATCACCCTTCTCCACGATGTTTTTTTTCATACCCAAACCTCCACCACCATTTAATTAGTAAGCAATCATTCACCAGCTTCACTCTTCTCAGCCCCAGGCCCCCTTGATCCACACTCTTTGACAATTCATCCCACTTTATCAGGTGTATCCTTCTCCTTATTTCAGTCCTCCCCAAAAGAAAAGAAGCCTGTAGTAGATAAATGGTTTCGTGTAAACGAGATGCGTGATTAACTTTAAGCCTACAATATCAAACACGAGTTGAGGGATTAATCTTCTAATGAGATTTCACAATCTCTTCAAGCCTCTCCTCAGAAGAGACTGTCAAAGAGGGAACTTTTAATCAAAATTTTATATAAGTTGGAGTTTTGATATTATGTATTATATATATAACAAAGAAAGAAAAAGAAAGTAGCCTAGATGGTCCTTCTAAATTGGGACCAGTTTAACTGCCGGTTAAAAGAATGGCTTATAAGGTTATCTAGTTGGTGTGTCCCCCAAAGTGTTCACAAAGTATTCCCGATGTCTCCTAAATGATGATGCTCCTTCCGTTTCAAAATATTAGTTCTTTATTCAATTTTTTATTATCTCAAATATTAGTCCTTTTTTCAAAAATCAAGAACTAAAATAATATGAATTTCCTATTTTGTTTTTCTTTTAAATTTATTAACACAAAAAGTACAATTATGACAATTGACGTTCCCAAAAAAATATATTATCAAAGGGTAATTTTGAAAAGTTAATATTTTTAAAGTATAATAATTGTACAACTAAAAAAGTTAGATTCTCCAAAAATGACTAATATTTTGGGACGGGAGGAGTAATAATAAATAAACGAACACATCACGTAACATGTCTCATACCTGATGTGTCCCCTTAAAAAATAATACTAATAAATAAAGGGACACGTTACGTGAGGTGTCTTATACTTGATGTGTCCCCTGAATAATAGTGTTAGCAGGTATTTTAATATTATAATGTGTTATAGGTTGGTTTTCTTTTCTTTTCTTCCTTGTTAAGCCTTCCAAGTCATCCAAGGTCTTGGTCTTAGTCTCCATAACTTATCTACCAATCTTATCTTATCCAAGTCTTGGTCAAGTTCACCAAGACTTATCCATTCCTTGTCTTCATCCGTTTCTTCCCCACCAAGAACTTGTCTAACTAATTTTGATTTCTATATATATATTAACTTATGTCCTATCTTTAGAGACACATAAGAGAGAAGAAGTTTTGGGTTGCTTTTGTTATGTCTAATGTGAGATTATCAGGCAAATAAAAAGGGTGTGCGTGATAAAGCTTTGGGTTTAACCAATCGTGCAGTATTGGTTAACCATACGACTTAGTTGGGTTGTTGTATCCTGGGGGGGACAAGTCAAAGTTTTTTCTGCTGCACCGATGTGAGGCATTGCCTAACCGCAGAGGGCTTGAATCTCCTTAAAGAGAGCGAATTTCCCGCGCCTCAGCCCTTATATTAATTGTTGTAACTTTTATTTTGTGTATTATCTAGTGTTTTATTTGTAAGTGTCACCAACAATTTTAAGGAGATTTAAATAGCAAAAGTTCATGGAGCCAATACTGGAGAAGCCCAACGAGAATACCGGCGATCTCAACAAGCCCTTCTGGTTCAAGGGAGCTCAATCAAGAGATGGAAAGGTAAGGTGCTTTTCTACCTCAGTCTCCTCAAGGTGGCTTATATCCTGACCGAGAGAAATCCGAACAAAGTCCCCACTGAAGAGATGACCGACGAGGAGTATGCTGCTCATCTTAAAAACATCAAGAAATACAACACAGATGAGTATAAATGTCGATACTATCTTTTGAATTGTCTTTCAGATCAATTTTATGATTATTATGATACTACTTACACCACTGCCAAGAAAATTTGGAAAGCCTTGCAGAACAAATATGACACTGAAAAGGCAGGCGCTAAAAAATATACTGCAAGCCGTTTTTTTCGCTATCAGATGATAGATGGAAAATCAGTGGTGGAGCAAGTTCAAGATTTTCAGATGTTAGTAGCTGAAGTTAGATCTGAAGGCATCAAAATCGGAGAACATCTTGTTGTAGCATGTATTGTTGACAAACTTCCATCATCTTGGAGGGAGTTCCAGAAGTCAATGCGCCACAAGCAAAAGGAAACGTCCTTGGAAACTCTAATCACACGGATTCGGGTGGAGGAGGAAGAACGAGAACAAGATGCGCTTATGACACAAGAGCATTCCACTGCTAAGGTAAATTTAACTTCTGGAGATACTTTACTTAAAGGTCGATTTCATAAAAATAGTCACTTGAAGCCAATTAAAAAAAATTTGGAAAAATACTGGAAGGCCACAAAATAAAAATTACCCGAGGTAAAAGAAATGGAACCAAGAACCCCCTTCACAAGATCTAACAAATGTGACATTTTTTTGTGTGGCAAAAGTGGGCATATTGCTCGAACTTGCAAATTTCGGAAACAACAGTCTCGACCACAAGCTAATGTTACCGAGGAACCATTTGTGGCTATGATCACAGATATTTTTATGGTTCAATCTGTGGAAGGGTAGTGGGCAGACTCTAGTGCCAATAGGCATGTCTGCTATGATAAAGATTGGTTCAAAGATTTCACTCCTTTTAATGAGGAGAGCACTGTTATGCTTGGTGACTCCAGTTTAACCAAGGTGCTCGGGTATGGAGATATTGAGCTGAATTTTACCTCTGGACGTGTGCTTGTTTTAAAAGATGTGTTGTACACACCGTCCATGAGAAAAAATTTGATGTCGAGTTATTTGCTCAACAAAGCTGGTTTCAAACAGACTATTGAATCTGACCAATATGTAATCACTAAAAAAGGCATATTTGTGGGGAAAGGGTATGCCATGTGATGGAATGTTTAAATTAAATGTTGAGACTAAGCACGCACATGTTTCTGTTTACATGATGTCTTCTATGAACTTTTAACATGCTCGTATGTGTCATATTAATAGCCGATATGTGGGAGTCATGAGTAGTTTAGGATTAATTCCCAGACTAACAAATAAGTTTGAGAAATATGAAGTTTGCAGTCAAGCAAAAATAACTAAAAAGCCTCATAAAAGTGTGATGAGAAATACTGAATTGTGTTAGAATTATTCACTATAATTTAGGTGAATTTGAAGGAATTTTAACACGTGGTGGAAAATAGATATTTTTATCACTTTTATTGATGTATTGTTCAAAATACATTATGTATATTTGTTTGGAAAAATAAAAGTGATGCCTTTTAAAAAATTTAAAGAATTCCTTCTTTGAAGTTGAAATCAATTCGGTAAAAAAGATTAAAAAGATATAGAAGTGATAGAGGTCGGGAGTATGAATCTTTTGGATTCAACTCGTTGCTCAGTCTTTGGGAATAATCCATGAAACTACTCCACCATATTCACCTGCATCTAATGGTGTAGTAGAAAAGAAAAATAGAACTTTAATGGATTTAACAAATGCTATGCTAATTGAAGCAGGTGCTTCTTCAAATTTGTGGGGAGAAGCAATTTTAACTGCATGTTATGTTATGAATAGAGTGCCACATAAAAATACAAAAGTTACACCTTTTGAGTTGTGGAAAGGGCATAAGCCAAATTTGAAATATTTGAAGGTTTGGGGTTGTCTAGCTTTTGTTAGACTTGTGGACCCTAAAAGACCTAAATTAGGTGCGAAAGCTGTCACTTGTGCTTTTCTTGGATATGCAACAAATAGTACAGCCTATAGATTTTTTGATATTGAAAACAAAATAAGTTTTGAATCAGGTGATGCAATTTTTCATGAAGAAAAATTTTCTTTTAAATCTAAAAATGGTGGGGATCAAAATTATCAAGAAAATATTTTATCTGAAACCGGTTCCTCTGCTCCTCTTTTACAAAACCAAGATCCTATAGTTTTTGAACCTAGAAGGAGTAAAAGAGCCAGAGTAGAAAAAGATTTTGGCGCTGATTATCATGTTTTTAATGTGGAGGAAACTCCATTAACTTTACAAGAAGCTTTGGCATCTCATGACTCTGTTTTTTGGAACGAGGCTATAAATGATGAGATGGAATCATTATTATCCAATAAAACTTGGATATTAGTAGATTTACCACCAGGTTGTAAAACTATTGGCTGTAAATGGGTTTTGAGAAAAAAACTTAAATCGGATGGAACTATTGATAAATATAAAGCAAGGCTTGTTGCAAAAGGTTTTAAACAACAAGCAGATCTTGACCTTTTTTATACATTTTCTCCGGTTACTAGAGTTACATCCATTAGATTATTAATTGCAGTGGCTACAATTCATGATCTAAATATTCATCAAATGGATGTTAAAACAGCTTTTTTAAATGGAGACCTGGGTGAAGAAATCTATATGGATCAACCTGAGGGTTTTGCGGAACCCGGTCAAGAAAGCAAAGTGTGCAAGCTAGTTAAATCCCTCTATGGCTTAAAACAGGCCCCTAAACAGTGGAATGAGAAATTTGATTTCTGTATGATTGAGAATGGCTATAAAACGAATGAATGTGATAAATGCATTTACTATAAATCTGAAGAAAATTCACATGTCATTATTAGTCTCTGTGTGGATGATCTACTTATATTTGGCTCTAATATGCATATCATCGTAGAAACTAAAAATATGCTTAGTAGCCATTTTGATATGAAAGATCTTGGTGAGGCTAATTATATTTTGGGAATGAAAATTACCAAAACCTGTGATGATATATTTCTTGATCAGTCGCATTATGTTGAGAAAATTTTGAGAAAATATAATTTTTATAACTGCAAGCATGTTCTTACTCCTTTTGATCCTCATGTGCGTTTATTTCGTGTTGAAAATGATGAGAATGTAATTAATCAAAAGGAATATGCTAGTATGTTTGGTAGCTTGCATTATGCAACTGACTGTACTAGACCTGACATTGCCTATGTAGTCGGAGTACTTAGCAGGTTTACTAGCAAGCCTGGCAGTGATCACTGGCTAGGCATTGAGCGTATTATGAAATATTTATCTGGTACCATAAAATATGGCTTGTTTTATAATAAGTATCCTGCAGTACTTGAAGGTTACAGTGATGCCGATTGGAATACCTTGTCAGGTGATTCATTATCAACCACTGGTTACTTATTTACATTGGGAGGTGGTGTTATAAGTTGGAAATCGAAAAAACAAACCATTATTGCTAATTTAACAATGGAGGCTGAGCTTATTGCTTTAGCTACAGCTAGTGAAGAAGCAAATTGGTTAAGAGATTTGTTAAATGAAATCTCTTGTTGGGAAAAACCGATTCCACCTATATTGATTCATTGTGATAGCACCGCAGCAATTGGTCGAGTTAATAACCGTTATTATAATAGTAAATCCAGACCTATCAGAAGAAAACACAATCCTGTGAGATCTTATATGAATAATGGCATTATAAATGTAGATTATATTAAATCTGGTGATAATCTTGCAGATCCATTAACTAAGGCCTTAGCAAGAGATAGAGTCTGGAATACATCGAGGGGGAGGGGTTTGAAGCCTATAAAATCAAAAACCACCATGTATGAGGATACTCAACCCAGGGACCAGTGATCCTGTAACTGGGTTCAATGAGAAAAACGATCATATGATGGCCATGAGAAATGCATTAAATTTACTTTTTACCCATCCCTATGATGTAAGTGCATTTATCCTGTAACGTTGTAGAGGTTGAGTTATTAAAAAACTCTTAATGAATTTTTGTAGCTCTTATTGAGTGGGGTGTCATAGTTACAGGAGCACCCTTGACAGAATTCACCTATGTGAGTGTGGTAGTGGGGCCGCTACCTATGAGATTTGGGCTAATTCTCAAACACACTCATTTATCTTGGGATTGCACAAGGCCGTAATGTGCTAGCTTTTAAAGCTTTTGTGAACACCTGGAATATTATGTATATGCAATAATTATTTATTTCCCTTAAGTAGTCATAGTTCAATGCTGAGCATACTATTGGCTCTGGAGTAGATATTATTGTTTCACTAATGGAGGTTCAATGCAGAGCACACCTACCATAATGCATAATATCCTTATGTGCCTAATAATCTCAGTTTTTGTTACCTATAAAATGTTAGCAGGTATTTTAATATTATAATGTGTTATAGGTTGGTTTTCTTTTCTTTTCTTCCTTGTTAAGCCTTCCAAGTCATCTAAGGTCTTGGTCTTAGTCTCCATAACTTATCCACCAGGCTTATCTTATCCAAGTCTTGGTCAAGTCCACCAAGACTTATCCATTCCTTGTCTTCATCCGTTTCTTCCCCACCAAGAACTTGTCTAACTAATTTTGATTTCTATATATATATTAACTTATGTCCTATCTTTAGAGACACATAAGAGAGAAGAAGTTTTGGGTTGCTTTTGTTATGTCTAATGTGAGATTATCAGGCAAATAAAAAGGGTGTGTTTGATAAAGTTTTGGGTTCAACCAATCGTGCAGTATTGGTTAACCATACGACTTAGTCGGGCTGTTGTATCCTGGGGGGGACAAGTCAAGGTTTTTTCTACTGCACCGGTGTGAGGCATTGCCTAACTGCATAGGGCTTGAATCTCCTTAAAGAAAGCGAATTTCCCGCGCCTCAACCCTTATATTAATTGTTGTAACTTTTATTTTGTGTATTATCTAGTGTTTTATTTGTAAGTATCACCAACAAATAGTAATAATAATAATAATAAATAAATAAAAGGACATGTCACCTAACATGTTTCATATGTGTTCCGGTGTCCAACATGGTTACAGCACTTAAAGTGGCAGTGCTTCATAGATTGTGATAAGTCATCAAAACATATGCAACAAAGCAAATGCATTATAGGAAGAGAGAATTTCCAACTTTTAACTGCTAAGAATAACTTATTCATATTTTGAAATTTTGCATTCATTCATTGAAAAAAGAACAAACTGAAATTTGCGATTTGTTTTTTTTGGAAAACATAAGAGATGTAACCACCATGAAAAACTCTTAAAAATCCTATGGAATAAAATGTATGAGAAGAAAAATAAAAACATTGTTCAATACTTTTGGTATGTGCCTCTAAAATTCACCAACCTACGAGTAAACTGTTAATAACCATAGAGCTTGAAACTAATTGTCAATAACCATAAAACTTTCAAGAAAGTTCATTTCTTCGCTTAGTTGCACGCTGGTGTTGATTTGGAACTAGACCCGATAGCTGGCAATGTAGTTGAGTCGTTACATTGTGATTTCTCACCCCATTCGCCATCTGATTCAAGCGGTTCATACACATGAACAGTGCCATCCACTGCTGGAAAATTCACTTTTAGCGGCGTTTAAAAAACGCCGCTAAAAGTATTAAAAACGTCGTTAATTTTTTTTTGTGGCGTTTAGTACCAAACGTCGAGGACGCGGCCGTCGCTATAACTTTATGGCGTTTAAAAAACGTCGTTATATTAGTATAGGCGGCGTTTTCAAAAACGCCGCCAAATGTCCTACCCTAACTGTACTGTGACGTCACTCTGACATTTAGCGACGTTTTTGAAAACGCCGTCATAGACATTTATTCATTTTAAAATCTAGCCGTTGGGATGGGATATAGTGACGTTTTTTAAACGCCACCATAACCTTTTTTTAATTTTTAGATTGTGTTAATTTTATATGGTTGAACAAAAAAAAAACCTGGCAAACAATTATTAAGAACTAATAATAAATGTTTATTAAAATAATAAATAAACTAAGCTTGAAAACAAAATTAAAAATAAAAAACAATGCATTACATACCTAAGAATAGAAACAATTCAGACTTTAAATACATCAATTAAAATCAAAATGGTCTATATGCTTGTCTAATAACTTATCCTGGTAAAGTCAAAACCATGCTGTGAAGAAATTACAAGAATTGCTTCCTTTTGAGGCTTATGATTCAACCTCACATGGACATGAAAATAATATTTATGGCTACAACCTTATCCCTACTCCATAGGAAAAGATAGACCATGCAATACAAAAAGGCAGTTAACCGCATTTCAATATCTAAAATCAGGAAAATAGAGGTAATCAATTTTAAATGTTCAACTAGGGCTAAGAACTTTCTATGAATTGCGATTAGACCATTGATAGAAGACATATATGTTCAAAACATGGTTCAACTACCATACACTATGCTTCTTGAAGAAAGAATTCAGTTAACCATTTTTGCATAAGCAGTTAATTCCCACTGTTTACATACCCATAAGACGAGAATTCAGTTAACCCTTTTTGCATAAGCAGTTAATTCTCACTGTTTACATACCCATAAGACGCTTGTAAGTTTCATTTTTTCCCAACAAAATATCAGAGTTGGCTTCTTGCTTCTCATGTTTGGCTATAATAACCTTTTTCTGAAAATCCAATGATATATCCTTAGGTAGCTGTGCTTGCAATTTGTCTTTGTCTGCATTTATTGATAGTTCCACACATTTTGGATCTTTATTGATGCTTCAGCTCTCGTTCTTGATAGTCTCTGCATCCTAAGCCATAGAACATCTAAGGTCTTCTCTAACATCCTGCACAGATTAAATCATGAGACACCAATCATACCATAGAAAGCAGAACTCAATTAAGTACTTACATTCGGAAAGGCGGTTACTTGCTCCATAAAAGCATCAAGAAAACCTTCCATTGATGCTCGTAAGCTGCAACAGAAGTAAATCGAATTAGCACATGGAGAGCATTCTGACAATTATGTAAAAACTGAAAACAAATTAATTAAACATATACTTTGGAAAATACCAAAGGAGCTATATTTGACCATCACCAGCAAAACATCTATAATTGGTTCATACCTTACTTTTAATGCCTTTGGTATGCTGTGGAAAGGTGCATGATTTTATAGATATCCATAAAAGTAGATTAGAATTAGTCATCACCAAAAACTGGCAGAACAGCTTATGCTTTCTTTATTCCATTTGTTTATAAACGAGTGATATAGGATTTCAGCAGCTAATATGCAACTCAAAACTCCAGAAGAAAGCTCAAATCTCTACCATTTGGGGTTGAATTCTAGTTAATAGTGATATAGGATTTCAGCAGCAAAGAAAATAAATAGATCCTGAAGTGTGCATACCCACTTCCTATTATCATCCTGGAAGAAAACAAGCTCACATTCAGCAATTCGATGGATAAAACTTAGCCCAGCTACTAATTATGGGGCAGTCTTCTACCTGGAAAAGAGAAAACGGATCCACACACACGACATAACTGATCAGAGTACTTGGTTTGCTTAAGAAATTTGAATAAATAACCAAAATCTTCTAAAGCATATGAATACCTACATCTTTCACCTTTATGTGCTTACAGGACTATATAAGAAATTGAATAGAATCGTATATATCTTACAACACTGCAATCAAAATTCAACAAAGGGCCTTCCAAGCAACAATAGTCCAATCCGATCAATTAGGGTTTTTTCTTTTTTAGGTATAGTTTAAATACATGCAAAACATCACTTATTGTAACATAACAATTAAAAATCAATCTGAACTACACTCACTGACTGATTAAGGAAGAAACACAAAAAAATGGGTTCTAGTAGCAGCATATTAATAGGATTACTCCATATTTTTTAACAACAGTTCCTACCAAACTGCTTAGTATTGATCAAAATCTCCAAATACATCACACCAAACTCCTTATACTAAGTACAAAGATCAAACCCACCTATCACATATCACCCTCTAAATCAAATTCATTGATAGAAAACTCCCAAAAGCAAAAACAATTAAAATCAAACAATGTTTTCTACAACATTTAATTGAGTTCTACAACAATAATGTTTGAAGAAAGATAAAAAGCAGAGTGAACAAAGAACTGAGGCGGTACAATAAGAGACAGTACCATTTTAAGCTCTTCATCAGTGTTAGTTGAGACCAGTCTTTGCTGCTTTCCCAGTAAGAGATTGGCCGCCTTCTTAGGAGTAGTATTATTATTGTTTTTGATGGGTTTTGATAAGTCCAAGAACAACCCAAAAATGAAACCAATGACTAGACCTGGAATGAAATTCTCTGGCTTGAAACTCACTGCAAACCATTCTCTTTCCTGTTTCTGCTGCTGTGAGTGAAAAAGATATACAGAAAACAACTAATTAGTAAAATTGAAAACAAGAAAATCAAGAAAACAAACAAACAAACAAACAAAAACAAAAATATGAATGAGATTACCTTCTTTGAGAGCTGAGAAGGGTATTGAAGCGAACCCAACATTGGGGAAGAAGAAGAAGAAGAAGA